TCAAACTCCTGAGCTCAAACGATCTACCCGCCTCTGCCTCCCAGAGAGCTAGGATTACAGGCGTGAGCCACCGTGCCCGGCCTTATTATCTCCATTTTTACAGATTAGAAAATTGAAAGTCAGAAACATTAGATTTGCTTAAGGTTATACATAGGTATTAATAATTTTAAGGTATTAATAGTTTTGACTCATCCCCAGAATTTCTGACTCCAAATTGAGTGCTCAATTCACCCTACTGTAATTATCTCCCATTTTAACAATGAGAGCGTATGGCTGTACTTAGAAAAGGTCACAAAATAAGAATACTAAAATTATAGCATACAATCAGAAACTGACGGTAAGAATAACTGTTTTAAATTCTCATTCTAGAGAGAGCAATAATCACTACAGCCTTAGAGATTTAACTAAGGTTTTACCAACAACAAAATACCATAATACTTTAGTTTACATCTAAGTGGTTCTAATGGGGATTGGGGTTTGTTTTGTCTTTTTCAAAACTCTTACCTCTATAACCAGATGACACTCTACAACCTGTTACAAATATGCAGTCAATTCTCGTTATTCACCATAGTTATGTTCTCCAAAGTTGCTGTGAGCACTGAGTTAACAAATACTGAACCATTGCTCTTAGGGGGAAATGGGCTGAGGTTCCTGCAAGCCTCTGGTCACAACATTTTGGTTAACCAAACAATACATAACCTTGTTTATATGTATTTCTGTTTCAAGACACCTTATATATTGCTGATTCAAAACACTGAACTCATAGCTAACAGTGCTATAACTCACGACCAAACGAAGCTTATCACACATATGTTCTCTGTGAGGCACAGCACAGCCTTCGTGCACTAAGAGCACTAGACAGCACTTCAACACTATACTTGGGGCCATTTTAAACAGCAAAATCACCAACAAAAGCACACAAGAAAAGCAGGGAATGTTCGAGGAGGTGCAAATTTTATAGACAGAACTACATTCATCAGAAACCAAATAAGATAGAGATTAAGTGAACTATGCAGTCAATTCAAAAAGCTAGAAAAAAGAAAACAGAATAGACATGAAGTAAACAGAAAATATGTAAAATAGAAAACAAGATTTAAAAATAGGCTGGTCTGAGTGCAGTGGTGTTTACAAACCAATTGACCACAACCAGTTACAGATTCCTTTGTTCCTTCTCCACTCCCACTGCTCCACTTGACCAGCCTTAAAAAAAAAAATAGACTTGGTTATTAAAACCAAAAGTTGGCCTCTTAAAGAAAGAAGAAAAATAATCAAAATTATGAATGAGAAAAGGATCATACAAAAGATTACTTTTAAAATCATGAAATTATGATTTTATTGGCTGTGCGTGGTGGCTCACTCCTATAATCCTAGCACTCTGGGAGGCCGAGGCGGGAGGATAGCTCAAGGTCAGGAGTTCAAAACCAGCCTGAGCAAGAACGAGACCTCATCTCTACTAAAAATAGAAAGAAATTAATTGACCAACTAAAAATATATAGGAAAAAAAATTAGCTGGGCATGGTGGCGCATGCCTGTATTCCCAGCTACTCGGGAGGCTGAGGCAGGATTGCTTAAACCCAGGAGTTTGAGGTAGCTGTGAGCCAGGCTGATGCCATGGCACTCTAGCCCGGGCAACAGAGTAAGACTCTGTCTCAAAAAAAGAAAGAAATTATGTTTTTATTACGGGAGTCAAGAATGCCTGGTTGACCGGGTAAGGTGGCTCACGCTGGTAATCCTAGCACTCTGGGAGGCCCAGGCGCGAGGATCGCTCAAGGTCAGGAGTTCTGAGACCAGCCTGAACAAGAGTGAGACCCCATCTCTACTAAAAATAGAAAAACATTAATTGGCCAACTAAAAATATATATGAAAAAATTTAGCTGGGCATGGTGGCGCATGCCTATAGTCCCAGCTACTCGGGAGGCTGAGGCAGTGGGATTGCTTGAATCCAGGAGTTTGAGGTTGCTGTGAGCCAGGCTGACGCCACAGCACTCTAGCCTGGGCAAGAGAGTGAGACTCTGTCTCAAAAAAAAAAGAATGCCTACTTAAGACACAAGATTGAAAACCACAAAAGAATACATATTTGACCCCACAAAAAAAGAAGAGTTAAAATGTTTGAGAAATGAAAAATTCCATGAACAAAATTAATAAGTGAACCAGAAGAAAATAATTGTTACATATATGAAAAAGAGCTAAAAGCTATAATTGTAAAAAGCTGCTATAAACTAATAAGATCACAGAGATCCAAATTTTTAATGCACAGGAGCTATACAAAGTTAATTCTAAAAAAGAATGGCCAATAAACATTTGAAGGAATGCTCAACCCTACTATTAATATAATCAAGAAAGTTAAACGGTAAGATATCATTTTTTCCCCCATCAAATTCAGCAAACATTCTAAAACATGATCATATGTGTTGAAATGGTTGCGTAGAAGCAGTCACTCTCATATACTGCTTTTGTTTGGTTTTGTTTTGTTTAAAAGACAAGGGTCTCACTCTATCACCCACGCTGGAGTGCAGTGGCACCGACTTAGCTCATTCAATGCAGGCTCTGACTCCTGGGCTCAAGGGATTCTCCTGCCTCAGCCTCCTGAGTAGCTGGAACTACAGGGATACGACACCAGGCCCAGCTTAGTATACTGTTGATGGGAAGTGTAAATTGGTAATATTTTTGCAGGGCAAATTAGCAGTTATGTGTTAATATTTTTAATTGTGTATACCTCTTTGAATCAGTTATTCTACATTCAGAAATCTATCCTATGAAAATACTTGAACATGTCCACAGATATATGCATAAAGATGCTCACTGAAGCAGTTTTTTGGATGAGTGAGAAAAAACTTTCTATAGAAATATCAGATGGAAAATGGTTTAAGGATTACTAAGCAGTCATTAAAATGAATGAATAAATCTACAGGTACTTAACGTGAAAAATTTCCAGGATAAGAATTAAATGGCAAAAAGTAATGAATGCAAAAGACATAAAGCAGTGCCATTTGGATATTTGTGTATCACATATAGACACGTGTTGGGGCAAGTGTGGCATAGAGGCTTTCACTCATTACCACATGTATTTTAAGGATTTATATATACATATTATATATGTGTGTATACACACAGCATATAATATATATGGGTGTAATAATATTTGAGAAAAAAAAGAAAAAAGAAAATTGTTTGAAAGAGACACATCAAATTGTTAGTTTTGTCTACCTTCAGGGAGAAAGGAGAGTGAAAGATTTTTACTTTCTACTCTATAAACTGTTAAAAAAAACCCATGAAAATATTATGCAGTTTTTGTGAAAACACAATTTTTAATATAAAGAAATAATCCATAGGAAAATACTTTTCAAAGACAAATAAAATGAACCCTAAGTCTACCTGAGCAATTTTTCAAAGTCACAATAAAAAATAAAACAGGAAGGCTTTGTGGTGTTTTACTTGGTACTTTTCCAGTTTTCCTTTCTTTACAACATAATTAGCAATTACTTCTAAAGAATTCCTCTGTCCTTTACGGAATATTACTACCTTCCAGGCCTAGAGTTCAAAGCATAGTTAGTGTAAGTATTTCAGCTGTGAGCCCAAAACTGGCAAGATATCACCGGTAAGGTTACTTTTTTTCTATTCCCTAATAAATATTAGAAAAGTATGTAGTTTGTAACTGTCTGATTTCCAAAAAAGATACTCATTTTTAAAAAAAATGTCACACATAGGTACACATCATACATTGTTTATTTTACTGGGATTGCAGAAAGGTATTACATGAACATGAAAAAAAGAAGAAAATGCTCAGTTAATCCAGAATAAGAAAATGCTCAGTTAATGACTGCTAATATTAAATCATCGCTTACACTGAGCCAGGCAGCAGTATAATTAGAAGCAGCATGACTTTGCACAATGACATTCTCTACAAGACTGTATCTTTGGAATACATAAAGCCTAAACGTTACATGTAAAGGTACATAAATAATGTAAAAAAAAAAAAAAAAGTACAAAACAAAGGAGGCAAAAGGTTGAATAGAAAAAAATAAATACTAAAGAAAACTGCATGGTATTTATTTTGATGGCTGAAAGGCTGGCTCGCCCCTCTCCTGCACAGCACCAGCACGCACGCGTCTGACTGAGCTCGCCAGCAGGCAGTAGTGTTCCACGTTATGTCGCAGTCGTGGCGAGGAATGTAACGTAGAACGCGACTTCATATCAAAAATGCACGTCGAAGGCACTTTCCTCCTTGGACGCCAAAGCACATCACCCGACCCGCGCCGTCCCCGCCCTCCCCGGCCACACACGTCCTGACGCATGTTCCCAGCAAGCTGCTGCCTCCATTTTGTCCCCAGTCTCCTCTGGGCGAACCGAGCGGCGCTATTTTAAAGACACCAAGTAATGAAACGAAAACAGGGAGGAGGAGGTGTGGGCGTTGGGAGCCCCACGGCTGCTGGGGACTAAGCGGCTGCGGGGTTGAGCGGAGCTGCCCGTGGCACCGAGGGCTCGTCCCGGGGCCGGAAGGACAAAGGACACTTGGGGGACAAGGGCCGCTCTGCCAGCGCGGGCGACTTCCGGGCTGGTGGGCTCGCGCGGGGTGCGCCGGGGCCGGGCCGACCCCCGCCGCGGGCCCGCCCCGCAGGACAAAGCAGCGGCACCGCCCCTAGGCGCGCGCCCGGGTGTGTGCACGAGGGCGCGGGCGCGAGCGCGGGGGACGGTTGGAAATGGCGGTTGGGGCGACGGAGGGGGCTGGGGCGGGAAGGGGCCGTCTCGCGGCGCCCGGCTCGGCTCGGCCCCGCCCCGCCCCGCCAGGGAGCTTCGCTGGCCCTCCTCCTCCCTCGCTCCCGGCACCCTGGCCGGCTGCCGCGCTGGGAAGAAGCGTGGCCCGTTCGAGTGAACAAAGGGGATGGCAGCGGACGCGCCGGCCCGCCCGAGAGGCCGCAGCGGAGAATGAAGAACATTCCCTAAGATGGCGGCCGGCGCGCGGGGCCGGCGGGGCGGGGCGGGGCGGGCCGGGTTTCCGCTCCCGCGGCCTCCGCGGGCACTGGGGAGGCGGCGGGGGGCGGGGCTGGGGCCCCGACGCGTCCGCATGGCCGCCGCTCCGGAGCCCGGCGAGCCCGGGAAGGGGAAGGTAACCCGGGGGCGGCAGGGCGCGCGCGGCAGGCGGGGGAGCGGAGCGGGCGGCGTGTGGGGACGCGGCCTCGGTGCGGCGCCTGGCCGGAGCACGTGTCCCTGGCTTGTCTGTACGCGTGGGCGTGAGGCTTGTAACTTACTAGTCCTCCCGTCATCTCCGGCATTCTCTGAATTGCCAGGACGAAACCGACCCAAACTAGGGGAGGGGCCAGTCGTGCCAGCGACTTACTGCAGGTCTGTGAGAAACGGCTAATGCTGAATGCTTCGGCGAGAAAATGTTGCTAAGCGCATGGCGCTGTTTTGCGGGTGAAGGTTAACAGTAAAGGCAAAGAGGACGCAGGTACCTTGTCTTTAACGTACTCTTCACACTTAACATAGAGGTAGGACGCGGAGTATGAAAACTTAGAATTTATATCCAGCAGGAGGCTGAGGTGAAAGAGTTGAGACTTTTTACCATTAGCTTTCTTTCGATCAAGTGGAGTGTACAGCATTGTATGTGACCAGTGTCCTGCCCAGCTGTATCCCTGGCTTGGTGCTCTCCCCTCCGCAGTCGTCCACGTGCTCCCACCTGCGAACTCCATAATTTTACCCCCGTGTCGAAAATCCAGTTGCAGCAGCCCATCTCTTTAAAATTCTTAGTAAAGCTAAACCAGGCTATCTGGTCTCCCTAGATGGGCCTCCTCTGCCTCCCGAAAGCCAACTGAGGTGCTGCTTACCCCATCTTCCCTGGCATCTTGTACATAACTTTATCATTCCAGCATTTATCGTACTGGGAGGTGATGATACATCTTGTCTTCCTCTTTGCATGGGCTCCTTGACAGCAGGGAACCCAACTTATATTTTCTGTGCAGAGCACATCACAGGTGTTGAGGAAAAAAATAATGCAAAAGGAAAGAAATTTTAAATAGTAAACTGTGGAGCTAGTAACATTGGATCAATCATGAGCAAGCATTTGTTGAAGACCTGCTGTGTGCTAGATGGCTCCTAATCCACGGGGTTTTTGTTGTTTTTGTGTTTTTTTAGAGAGAGGGTCTTGCTATGTTGCCCAGGCTGAATTTGAATTACAGGATCAAGTGATCCTCTCAAGGAGCTGGGACTATAGGCAAGTGCCACGCCACCCTAATGTATACTTTTTAAGTTATTTTCTACTTGGCTTGAAAATTTTGCTCACTTCTTGCTCTTGCTTGCTTCTCTTTGGACATTTCCATCTAAATTTGGCCAAGACTTCAGATCATACAGTTAATATGAACAAATATTGCATAAATTGTTTCCATACTTAATACCAAGTTTTGTCAATTCATAAACTATTGGTGCCTTTTCTGGTTTTACTGTCTCATACACTGACCATTTGGAATATGTATAGTGTTAAACAAAAATGTATCCTTGTTCAAAACTTGCATATTTCAAGGTGCACCATAACTACAAACTCTAAATCCTAGTTCAGCTTTGTGATGAACACTGAGATCTTATATGAGACTTTTTATTTCTTTTGTATCTGATTACTCATCTTTGACAGGAAATAACTGCTGTCTTTTCAGGATCATAAGAGGTGTCCAATCCATTGGAAATCAAAAAAAGAACTCAATGAAAGAAAACAATGGATCAATATATTTTTTTTTTTGAGACAGAGTCTTGCTTTGTTGCCCAGGCTAGAGTGAGTGCCATGGCGTCAGCCTAGCTCACAGCAACCTCAAACTCCTGGGCCCAAGCAATCCTTCTGCCTCAGCCTCCCAAGTAGCTGGGACTACAGGCATGCGCCACTATGCCCAGCTAATTTGTTCTATATATATTAATTGGCCAATTAATTTCTTTCTATTTGTAGTAGAGATGGGGTCTCGCTCTTGCTCAGGCTGGTTTCGAACTCCCGACCTCGAGCAATCTGCCAGCCTCAACCTCCCAGAGTGGTAGGATTACGGGCGTGAGCCACTGTGCCCGGCCAATGGATCAATATTGACCTATTGGCCGGGCGCGGTGGTCACGCCTGTAATCCTAGCTCTCTGGAGGCCGAGGCGGCGGACTTGCTCGAGGCGGAGTTCGAACCAGCCTGAGCAAGAGCGAGACCCGTCTCTACTATAAACAGAAAGAAACTAATTGGCCAACTAATATATATAGAAAAAATTAGCCGGGTATGGTGGTGCATACCTGTAGTCTCAGCTACTTGGGAGGCTGAGACAGAAGGATCACTTGAGCCCAGGAGATTGAGGTTGCTGTGAGCTAGGCTGACGCCACGGCACTCATTCTAGCCTGGGCAACAAAGGGAGACTCTGTCTCAAAAAAAAAAAAAAAAAAAATATTGACCTATTTAATTGGCCCACCAGTAGCAAGACACTATTGTAGTCAGTGAAATGAAGGATACCTTCAAGTGCTTAAAATAGCACTGTCAGATTTGGGGGGCCAAAGATAATAAAAAGACCTGCAAATAAATTGCCCTTGAAAGAGCAGTACCTATCAAAACTCATCAAAAAGATGATAAAATTGATATAACGTAAGCTATGACTGATTAACAACTGAGGGCAATATCAGAAAAGGAAGCCTGCAGTTATTAAAAAGAATTTATCCGCCGGGCGCGGTGGCTCACGCCTGTAATCCTAGCACTCTGGGAGGCCGAGGCGGGAGGATTGCTCGAGGTCAGGAGTTCGAAACCAGCCTGAGCAAGAGTGAGACCCTGTCTCTACTATAAATAGAAATTAATTGGCCATCTAATATATATATAGAAAAAATTAGCCAGGCATGGTGGTGCATGCCTGTAGTCCCAGCTACTCGGGAGGCTGAGACAGCAGGATTGCTTGAGCCCAGGAGTTTGAGGTTACTGTGAGCTAGGCTGACGCCAGGGCACTCACTCTAGTCTGGGCAACAAAGGAAGACTCTGTCTCAAAAAAAAAAAAAAAAAGAATTTATCAGTCATCCTGCTGGTACAACCCAGGGAAAAGGATTATTTATTAGGATTAGCTAGTGTAAAAGGTAAAAATGGGAGTTACCAAGCTTGATAGAAGTAGCTCTTAAAAACTCTTTCCTTTGCCCCCTCATTCTTGTTCTTCAAGACACTTTAAAATGTAAGACTTAGTATATACAGGTTAATTCACGATCAGGAAAATTCTGAATTCATCTAGTCAAAAAATATTTACAGAGTACCTACTGTTAATATTAGGTACTAAACTAGGTGGGTGATCAGTAAGACAGACTCATTTGCTGAGCCAGCCATGCAAAGATCAAGTAGAAAGGTAGCATGTTAGGTAATAACCACCTAGGCGTGTTAGATGAATGGTAAGGCCAGTGCCTAGAGGACAAGGCAGAGTGGGATACAGAAGGAGCTAAGTGCCAGATTGTGTAGGGCCTTTGGAGTAATGGTAAGAAGTACATGCCTTATTCTGAGCTATGGAGGGTTTAAAAAGGAGAATGACAGTCATGTGATAACACATTTTTAAGAGTAGATCAAAATTTAAGATACTGTAGACATATAATAATTTGGGTAGTGTAGGTTGAGTATCCCTCATCTGAATTGCTTGGGACCAACCAGAAGTGTTCCAGATTATGGAATACTTGTATTATACCAATTGAGCATCCAAAATCCTCCAATGAACATTTCCTTAGAATGTCATGTCAGTGCTCAAAAAGTTGTGGATTTGAGACTCAGAATGTTCAACCTGTAGTAACAAAGTTGGCCAAAGTGGTTTGGTTCAAGATATGTTTTGAAGGTAGCTTCTTCCAGACTTGCTGCTATCTTGGTCATGGATTTGATGAAGGGAAGGAAGTAATCAAGGATGACTCTTGGGGTTTGGACCTAAAAATTGCTTGAGTAGTGATGCCATCAAGAGGCAAGTTTGGAGGTAAAAATTCTATTTTGCAAATATTAGGTTCAATGTGCTTATTAGACATGTAAGAGAAGTGTCAATAGGCAGACTGAGACTGAAGCTTGGGATAAAGATTTGATTTATAAATCTGGAGTCATGTCATATTTGAACCCAAGTAAAGGAAATGTTCCAAAAATGATTATCCATGCCACATGTGCTGAAATGTAGAGTAGGATGGATTTTACAAAATGGATGTCTTTTAGAGACCTTGACTGTAGTGTTTTTCTAGAGTGCAATAGTAGATAAATGCTTCATTGTAGTGAGTTAAAAGGAAAATGGGAGATTTGCAAGTGGAGAACCACACCTAGGAAAATCAAGTAGTTTTGCCATGATAGGGAGCAGAAAAATGGGATGGTAGTTTAGGAGGCTGTGGGAGGCAGGGGTTGGGCGTGGAGCATATAGAGTGGTTTTGTTTTGTTAGTAAATTGTAATAGAGAAAAAATCTAATGATCCAAATGAAGGGGATAACTAGAATCTCTGAATAGTAAAGAAGGGAATCAAGCACAGTGGCAAGACTAGTTTTAGATAGGAATAGGGCAGTTCATCCTTTGCAACAGAACACAAATATGGGCACTGATGAGATAGTGGTGGAAGATGAACTAGCTCTAATTTCATCTATTTCCTGTATGTTACTGAATTGACATTGTGGCATAGAATCTCTTCAGCTTTCCTTAGTTCTATCAAGGTGAGCGGGTAAGCCTTTCTAAATCTAAGCTGTGAAAAAAAAATTGTCAAAGATTTCCTTAATTTATGTTTAAGGCCTTAACTTGATTAGTGGCAAAAGTTAAACCTTAAATTTGCAGGCTACATAAGGAAGTAAGAAAAATGTTAAACACAATACTTAAGTATATAAAATATAAATAGAATACCGCAAAGGGATGAATTCTCTACCAAAAGGAAAATTGTGTTGTGGTGTGGCTTTAAGTCTTTGTACATCCTTCCACCATCTTAATAAAAACTGCAGTAGATATATTTATGTGCTGACTTTATCCTGTCACTTTAGATATGTGACCACTAGAAAATTTTCCTCCCAGAAGTTTTAGTTGTTTTATTTAGCCAGAGTTACAGATGCAGTTTAGTTCAGTGGTAATGACAGGCTTTTAGGGGTCACACTGACTTCCACCTCCACTCCTGCCAGCCTTTATTTGCCTTTTTATGTTTCTGAGCCTGTTTGAGAGACAATCTCAGAGAGGTGGTAAGATTATTGGGTGTGGTGGTGTGCACTTGTAGTCCCAGTTACTTCCGAGGTGTGAAACTGCAGCTATCAGAGGAAAAAGGTGTAGCGTGCTTGGCAGTAATAACCTCCTGCCAGCTCTAAGTTATGAGATTGTTTAATTAGACCGGGGTTTTTCAACCTTGGCACTATCAACATTTAAGACCAGATAGCCTTGGGTGTACATCACTGGCTCTCTTGGTTACATAAGGTACAGTTATAAATGAGATATGTAGCTTTTGGAGTGAGCTGAGATCCTTTCCAGCATTTCCAAATTTACTTTTTAAAGCCCGGGCTAGAGTGCAAGTGTCCTCATCGCTCACTGCAACCTCAAAAACCTGGGCTTAGCAATCTTCCTGCCTCAGGCTCCCCCTCCCCAGTAGCTGGGACTACAGACAGCCATGAGTCACCTTGGCCAGCTAATTTTTTCTATTTTTGGTAGATCCTGGGGCCTTACTCTTGCTCAGGCTGGTCTCAAACTCCTGACCTCAAGCGATCCTAGGATTATAGGTGTGAGCCATTGAGCCCAGCCCTACAGCAATGTTTCTAACATAGATTCCAATGGCCTATCCCAAATCTAAATCAAAATGTGAGTATGACACTAGGAAATCTTTCTTATTAAAAGCTCAAAATACCTAGTTGCCTAGCTAGTTTTAGTTTTATCAGGATGGGCTGGCAAAGCCACTTTTCTAAATAACAGTCTACAAAAAAATTAGTCTAAGAGTTCCTTAATCTTTAAGGTCTGAAACCACCGTTTCAGGCATTTTTGGCAAGTGTATTTTAATGCATTTGATAAAGAACTGGGGCTAACATTTACATTTTGTCCAAGTGCTCCACCATCCTGGAGGGGAATCCAAATGAGAAAGCTTGGAAGCCTTGAAGAAACTTTTGTGTTATTTTGCATGGGGGCAGGAGTGCAGTGCTCGGCATGTCATGGCCAGCCTGATATATGAACACCATCAGAACTGCTCTTCATACACTTGAACCTAAGACCTGATAGCACCAGCGCTCCCTCTAGCTCCAGCACACAACCCCTGGGGAAATTAGCTGGTTTAAGAAGGGCATTAGTTCTGGAGTGCAGAGTCCAGCATTCCTTATCAGCATAGCAACTACCCCCATACAACCATACAGTCCCCTGGGCTTTTGAGCTGATATGGTAAGTCTTTTTTGCTAAATGAAAAGGCTGGAAGCAGAATTAAGTCCCCTAATCTCTTTTGTGTTGCAGAGCTTTTAAAGCCTGCTACTAAAAACACCTGCTGTGCTCACGAAGGAAATCTGTCAGAAGTGTGCAGGGAGGGATGGAGAGGCAAAAGAAATAGAATGACAAATCAGAAGAGTATATAGTTTTTGCTTTATTATGAATCAAGTCACATTTTGTCTTTTCCAGCAGATACTTGAGCCAAAGAACTTCACACAAAAAGTACAATTGAAAATATTTCCATGTTTCAACCTTTAAACTGACTTGCCTTTACTGTCCTTTCCCCATTTCTTCTAATCTTTTACCTTAAAATATACTACCTTCTAGGTGTCATCTCATAGAATCCTCTTCCTCTAGCTTCATGTCCTGCCCCACACAATACTAACCCACTTTTAAAACTATGAAACCTTGAAAGCAATGTTATTGAAAACTTACATTTATAGTAATCAAATGTTAGAAAGTATCACTTCTAACTTTTTTCTTTTACTCAGAAATATCAGTTAAACATAACTATTAAATGTCTGTCCTGCTGCCACCCTAAAGTACAATTTTTAGTGACAGACATCCCAGCCAAACATGGGGAAAACAAGTCCATAAATCCAATGAAGACTGTAGAAAAAGAAGCCATTTTAGCAGCTGAAGGAACTTAGAACAGACTGAGGACACAGGGATACAGAAGTTAGTGGCAGAGCTGAAACAAAACTCAGCTTTTCCCACCACAGCTACCTGTGGTTACTATGTAGTATGAATGCAGTATCAACTGCAACCTCACTTTTCACAGGCAGAAAAGTGAGACTAGAAGAGATAAATAAATTCATTGCCCATATTTATCTTCACGTGAAATATATGCTGCAACCACAACTGTTATTCATCTACTTAACACCAACAAAACATGAAAATGGAATTTAAAACAGCATGTTAATGTTTTAAGCTAATGTGGTTCAAATTACTGGGATTATTAATTAGAGCAAACTATGATGGTTTTTAATTTCAGTGATAAGTAATTTCATTTAAAGACCACATAAAATATGTACATTCCTATTTCCAAATCAGTTGATTAGCAAATTATCATATAACACAAAGTTATCCTGCTGCCTAGGGCTTTCTGATCAAGTTTAAGGGTTCCAACTTAATTCAGATTGTATACCAGAGCAAGGAAAAAGCATAACTGATTCCAGGCTGTCAGATGGCACATACTCTAGTAATCTCTTGACTGTAACAAGGGGAATGTATTATAATCTTTGCCAACCCACCCTGAAATAAAATATTTTCTTGTTCAATCTTTTTTTTTTTAAATCATAGCCATTTAAGCTCCTAGGAATTTTAGATGTTGAAAACATTCCTTGTGCACGGGATTCAGTATTATATGGTTCATTAGGATCTGTCGTGGCTGGCCTTGGACATTTTTTGTTAACTAGTGAGTATCATTTTTATTTCTCTATGCTTTAAAAAAAACTTCTCTATGTTGATTAATAATTTTTTTCTAGAGTAACTATAATGTACATAATGTGTAGTTATATTCTAATTGTACTGGTTATGCTTATTTTCAACAGGTAGAGTTAGAAGATCATGTGATGTTGGAGTAGGAGGATTTATCTTGGTGACTTTAGGATGCTGGTATGTTTGCTAAGTATTTGAGAAAATCCATGATTATAATAAGTTATCTAATACTGAAGTACATGCTTTTTTCAGAGATATCTCCCATTGGGAGAGTCCCACCTAAAATGATGAATTTTTTTTTTTTTTTTGAGACAGAGTCTCACTTTGTTGCCCAGGCTAGAGTGAGTGCCGTGGCATCAACCTAGCTCACAGCAACCTCAAACTCCTGGGCTCAAGCGATCATCCTTTCTCAGCCTCCCAAGTAGCTGGGACTACAGGCATGCGCCGCCATGCCCGGCTAATTTTTTTCTATATATATTAGTTGGCCAATTAATTTCTTTCTATTTATAGTAGAGATGGGGTCTCGCTCTTGCTTAGGCTGGTTTCGAACTCCTGACCTCGAGCGATCCACCCACCTGGGCCTCCCAGAGTGCTAGGATTACAGGCGTGAGCCACTGTGCCTGGCCCAAGAATGAATCTTGATTAAGACATTTTAATGGAATCTGTCTTACCAAACATTGCTGGAATGCCTTTACCTTTTAAACACATATATCCATATATCATATCATTCACTGCATGCTTGAACAGATCAATGCATGACATTAAGACATTCCATTAAAACGAAGCAAAGTTATGGCTTCTATACTTCATTTAGGAAGGCCTCAACCTTTCCCTTACCTTAATGCCTATTTCATTCCTGCTTATTCATCACATCTGAACGTTCTACTTTAAGAGTGTTCACAATTACTGGTGAATATTAAAAAACACAGACAAATCTCAAACATATTATCTTGGGTGAAATAAGCCAGATTCCAGAGTGCATTATGTACATAACTCTATGGTTCCATTTATACATGCAGTTCTTTAACAGATGAACTACAGTGATAGAAATCTATACCTTCATTTTTAAAAAAGCATGGGTTCACAGGTATTTTGACAACCATTCCCAAAATAGCACTCCAAAACATACGTTTGTATTTTTAGTCTCAAGGTGTAGTTATCTGTAAGCATTTTTAAACTGTGTGATTATAAAAAAATAAATTTCATAAACTGATTTCCATAAGAAATTAATAATTTCTTCATATTCTTTTCTTACAAGGTTCCATTGTAGGTATAATTATGCAAAGCAAAGAATCCAGGAAAGAATTGCCAGAGAAGGAATTAAAAATAAGATATTATATGAAAGCACCCACCTTGATCCTGAAAGAAAACAAACCAACAGCGACAGCAGCAATTAAGCAATCCTGATGTCAATGTGAAAAAGCTGATATTAATCATATAAAACATTTTATGTTGAATAAGCTCACAATCAAGTAAATAAAGTATGTGTAAGTTGTAGTCTTTTTGTTTTTGGTTCACCCTTGTATGATAACTCGCCAATTCATTCTGGCCATGTTATCTACTGCTAATGTAGCATTCTTATGTGTTCCATATGGTGGATTTGTCATACCTGATTTCTTAAGTGCCCTAAATGTTTTTTGGAAGTATGCACGATCTTAATTTTTAAGTAAAATTAGTTTTGAATTCAAATATGTGCATGGTATATGTAAAAATACTTTCAGAACTTGTTTGGTAGACTGGGGCAATGGCAAAACTGTAAAATTACACTTATGTCATTACATTCATGTAAACAAGCCATTTGAAAGTCAATCAGCTGCCCCCATTAAAAAATCCTTTAAAATACAAGTATAAAATTACCCAACATCCAAGTAAATCCTCAATATTTATTCATCCAGCAGACATTCTCTCCCTTTCTAAGGAAATGAAGTTATTTTCTTGAGAAGTATTAATAGACATTATTTTTCAAGATCTGTTAAATACGACAAAACACAGCTAGATGCTTAAGTGACAAAGAAACACTGAAGAAAAAAAGACAGTCAACAGGATGAAATATCATGGCAAGCCAGTGAAATAGAGCAAGGAAGAAAGTCTTCAAGAAAAAGTGAGGCTTGTTCCAGATCAATCACAAGAGAGCATTTTCCCTCCCATGCCCACCACCTTCTTTTAGCTGTCACTAGGAGGGTTAGGGTATAGAGGTTGTGTGGTTTACCATGTGCTTTAACTACCAGTGAATGACACTGTTAAACACATGTTCTCAGAGAAAATTTTTACTGATTCTAATCTAGCAGCCACCAAAGGAGGGATTTGGACATTGCTAAGAAAAGGTTAACAAAAAGGAAAATGCAATTTTGCAAGATCTGCCCACTCTTACTAGCACAAACCAAAGTTAAGTGCAGTCTACATTATTCAAACTGATCTCAACCAAATAATCATTTAGAATTCCAAGTGACATTCACCCATAGTTAAGAGGCAGCACTGCAAGAAGGGGAGAAAACACCTAAGAGCACTAAACAATCTGGAACACTAATAATCTGGTATTTAACAAGCTGTATGGACAGACTACTTATGCTCTCAGCTTGTATGCAGTCATCTCTGGGTATCTGTAGCACATACCCAAGTTCCTTTTATAAAATAGTATTGGCATATAAGTATGCACAACCTGCCATGTAGTTTTTAATTTTTTTTTTTTTTTTTTGAGACCGTGTCTGTGTTTTGTTGCCCAGGCTGGTTTCGAAGTCCTGTACTCAGAGCAATCCTCCTGTCTTAGCCTCCTAAACATCTGGGATTACAGGTATCTGTACCCAGCCTCCCATAAATTATCTCTTATAATTTATAATATCTAGTGCCATGCAAACGCTGTATAACTAGTTGTTACATTATATTGTTTAATGTTTGTATTTTTTTGTTGTTGCATTGTTATTGTTTGGTTTTCCCAATACATTTGATCTGCAGTTGATTGAATCTGAAAGTATGGAACTGGAGGATAAAGAGGACTGATGTTCTAATGTATGTAACATGTAAAACTGGGCAGATGAATTAAGTAATTAAAGTCCCTTCTACCTCTAGCATACCGCAGTTACATCTTACCATGAGTAAAAGAGAAACAAACCTCTTGGCTGGTCAAATTTCCAACACCTTCACCAATAACAAGGTTAGTTCACTTTCATAGCAGAGTGATTGTATAAATTGGAGACCTGGATAAAAACAAAGGTGTAACACACTTATTTGGTTGGATTACTTTTAAAATGTCATTGCATGATCATTAATAACTTTATTTTCTTCTTGAACTATTAAGATGTTACAAAATGTATTATTTTATAATTGTTCTCAACACTTCCACTAACTTCAATCAGTTTCTACTCTGCCATAAAACTTCCAAACCCAAACTGTATTAAGTTATGCGAAACTTCAGCCCACCATGACCTGACCTTAATCCGATTTAATTCCATTGGAAATGCCTTTCTACCTTCTCCGTTAACTTTCCATTCTTTTGCTCACTAACCTCTGAGGATTAATCACCTTTTCACTTAAGTTCTCAATACTATGTTTTATCTGTTTTAATAGTTGACTTTTGTTGGTCACTGGTATCTGCTACCACCACTAGTGCATAGAGCCTAGTTTCTTGTTGGCAAGAACCTTGTTCATTTTTATCTTTATATTCTCAACTAAGTATCTGGCACAATTATAGTAAAAAAATGCATTAGATTGAATGCTCACCACCAAATGGTGTCCAAGTTCCCCTCTCATCTAGACTTTCACACTTTGTAAATCTTAAACTATAAAGAGTAACCTACCTTCCATGCCCACATGGAGCCTCCAGAGCACTGCTTCCTTCATTGTTCCATTAATTCCGAAATTTCACACTAGGTGACATAGCAGTAGGTACCAGCTAAATAGCTGATTAAAATAGAATTGTGGTCATTAGTAGTCTTAAAAGCTTTTTGTGGCTTATCTATCATTATCTACTTTTTAAAAAATCTTCCTAGTGCCGTATGCATTTCCCCCTTCCCTTTGCCCCTCCCTCTTTTGTTTTTCCTTGACTACTTGCTTTTCCATCTCAGTAAAAGGACCTTAGGGAATTTCAAATTAAACTAGCTTTTCTCTGGATTTGGAATGTATAATGACTTGAGCTTGTCAACAAGAAACTGACTATCCCTGGTACCATTATTTGATTTGCAAGCATCTCTTTAGTCTACGTACCTCTACTCCATCGCTGGTTTCCCTTTGCTTCGATTATATAATGCGAGGAGGTCTATATAATAAATTCAGGATTCTTGTTTATGCACTTTTCAGCAAAGAGCTAGATAACAAATAGGGTTTGAATCCTTCTATTCCTAGATAAAAATCTGCGATGGGGGTCAAGGCACCCCTTTAAGTCATGTTAAGACATACACTATTTTGGGGGTAAGCAGAAGACCTTAACAAGGAAAGTAGAAAAATTAAAACGATTGCTATAATTCTGATTTTCAATGGTCCTCTAGAATAAAGTATTTTCTGGAAGCATATTAAAATAGTCCAGTAATCATGTCAGGTCAATATACCAATATCCTCTACCACCCGAATACTGGTATTTTACACAGCTTACTTTGCACATTAAGTTCCATTTTAAAATGTTTTTAAATTTTTCATTATAAGGGAAGATGGAGGACAAAAAGTTTTATCATGAAAGTGTTACATTTTAAAGTTTGTAATATGAGCACTAGACATGTGTTGCAAATATTTGAGTGCTTTTTCAACCATTGCATCCACCTTACTCTTCCATTTTCTAGAGTAAGGATGACATGAGTATTTTTATCTTGCGAAGGCAAAAGGCAAATACTAATTTTAAGAGGTTTCTATTGTTCACTTTAAATTTGTCAGTGTTTAAAGGTTGTTATCTGTTCTGCTTTTTCTAGGAATAATCAAGTCTGGTATGTTATAAACCACCCATTATATGGCACACCCTTAAGGGATATCAAAGTAACCTATCTGCATATACTGGTTTCTTAAGGGGTTAGGTTCCCATAGAAATGTTTCTTCCCCTATAAAGACAAATCATCATGAAAGTCATGTGAAATAAAACATGCCTTAGCCTTACCATCTGTATTCAAAGCTTATTTTTGAATGTTTTCCTTTTCTAGTTTTATGGTTTTTCTCAAATGAACAGGATTATGAAACCTCAAGTTACATGCTCTTCAGAAGTCATTATATTGCATTTTATTTGTGAGCAGAGCTATATTTCATTAAGAAGCAAACCCTGACATTTGGAATCACAACAGCACCCACGTCCTCTCATTTCACTTAGACATTATTCTGGAATACATAGGGGGAAAAGTAAGTTTTCTCTAAGCTTATCAAGTCTTTTTCAGGGAAACTTAAAATTAAATGCTCTGGGGACTGACACAATCAAGAGCTCACACCAAGCTTTCCCATTCCTTCCAAATTTTGAAAAGCTAGTAAAAAGGAGTAGTTGTGTATTTAGTATAAATGCAAAGAAGATTTTTGGAAATTGAGGACGGGAAGGTATCCCATCCTAGTCTCATTGTTTTTCATTAGAACACTATATTTACTTAAACCCTGTTAAGTCTGAATCTTAAATTCAGCTAATTTTTTCTTTTTAAAGCCCCACAAGTAGGGACGATGTTAAATGTCTTGCAAAGTTAAAGAGAAGGAATTGGAGCCACCAAGAAAATGGATCTAACCTGGAAAGGACTCAGGTTTTACTTGCATATACTCCCCTAAACCTAAACAAGAGGTCTGCCAATTGCTAAGAGATACTCCAGGTATGCAAAGAAGAAATTAGAACCTTTTCTGTTACAGAGAATCTGTCCATCTGATTATCAATTACTCCCCCCCCCATCTTTTTAAACAATTAGAGTCCTATTTAAGATGATCCTGGAAGCCTAACATAACAATTGCTAAATGTACAAGCAATTAATTTGGAATACCTATTGGAATCACTGGAACACATTTAGTTGGGCCCTTTAACTCTTCCACACAGCACATTCACATGGACAGACTAAGGAAAAGGAGATGAAATTTAAATCAGCACATCATTTCTTTTTGCTTTATTACTTTTCAAAAAAAAAAAAAAAAAGTCAGTTGGAACCTTGTGTTCTTATACTTGACCATGACTCTCCAGGTTTCCCTTTACAAACAACTGATACAGACTACCTCAGAATCATTTTGTTGCCATTCAAATAAGCCCCAATCATTCATGTGAAGTATTAATTTTATCTCATCTTCTCTATGCATACTTTAGTACTTTCAAAGCATCTGTCACCGTTATAAATTACACGTCTATACTAATCAGTTCTGGGTGGCTTTAAAATTTTGAAAAATTTTTTGGCTGATACCAACTTGTGGCTATACTGTGTTTGCAAAGTATATTTTACTGGAAAAACTGATTTTACTTCCTGTGAAGGTCATGGAATGGTACTGGTTAAAGGAAAAGCAGAAGAACATGCCACAAACAATAATTCAGTGTTTATCAGTTAGATGCTATGTTAGCTCTCCAGCCTGTAATCCCTGCATTAATTTCGGGGAGTGTGGACACTCAGGCTGGACATGCTCATGAGTAACTATGCCATTGGACAGCTCAGTGATTGTAAGTGTAACAAGGAACTAAACTTTTCTAGAAAACATTTCTACACTATCATTTAACATCGTATCACTTTCAACTATAGTATGTAGTTTCTCACGCCCAGATTCAGCTTTAAGAGCAAAACGCATTCCTTGTCAAAATCCAAACATAAGCCGAATCCTGGCATAAAAAAGAAATTAAACAACATTCCTAGGCAATAATTAGATAACATTGGCCGTGGCCAGGGGTGAGATGCGGCGCCCAGAGCCAGTGGGGGCCTCAGCTCAGCGCCCACTGCCTCGTGTGCGGCGGTGAAACCCAGGCCCCGACAGGCGCCGCAGGAAAAAAAAAAAAAAAATTAGATAACAAAATGTTCCTAGTCCTAACTACTCACCTAACCAAGCAGTGAATCAGTGGTTCTGGCCTGTCACTTATCTTCAACATTTGCTTTCCTACCACAACTATCAATTCCACTATAAAGGTGTCATATTTTCTGAATAATTCCAATTAACATTATAAATTTTAATCCTTCTATTTCCAATCTACTATTCCTTATAGACTAAATGAAGTTCTTGAGACAACTAATTAAGCTTAATCACTTGTATCTTTAGTCAATTGGCTAGGACATGAAAGTATGTCTTAATGTAAATATACGATCTATTTTAGCTATTTCTCAAAATAAGTTCTTTTTCTGAGGTCCAGCTGTTCTGCATGATTCAAGATTGACATAAGTGAGATGCCAAATAAACTAGCATACATATGTAGCTAAACATACTGAAAACTATACCTTAAGGTAGGTTGTTTCAATTGTTCTATTTCATAAACATACACATAAATTTAAATTGTGGAATGTCTACGTATTTAGGGAGCCCTGGTTTTTAATATATTCCAACACACTCAAGGGATACACATTACTTCAGTAAGTACTGTAACTCACTTTCAAATTCTAAAGGGCCTAAAGATCAAGGTTACCAGCGAGGGTAAGACAAAAGTCAATGCTACATGAGTGAGCTGGACAAAGTACTTTTAATCCTTATTTTATAAACATGGACCTCTAGTACTAATAGATTTTTAAGAAACCTTATAGATGATTCAAGAGCAGCCTGAAAAACTAAAAACTCAAGCACTAAAATTAACTAGCTAGATCACTTTCATGTTTTCAAAATGTAGGTGAGGAATAGCTATGGCCAAAATAAACCCTTCAAAAGCTAAAAACAAAAAGGCTTTCTACAAAGGGTACTGCAATTTAACTGAGTATTTTAAGGTTAAGGTTAGGCAATTAGCAATTGAAGCAGACATGTGGTTTGTATGACTAATAAATTCAAATTACTGTTCGGAAACTCAGATTCTTGCTGAAAGCACTAATGTTTACTAAAATTTATGCTCAAGTCCCAGTGCATAGGTATTGCAACCTATTCTTAGGCCTTAACATATATATTCTTATTTTTACTAACTACTATTAAAATGTTAAAACTTATACCCAGTTTTTCACAAATTCTCAACACCTCAATCTCAGAGCTCCAGTGTTACAGAACAATAAATGACAAAGCTTAGACTCAGATACAATATTGTATACATTTGTGCATAGAAGAGATTTATGGAAACTTTTTGTAATATATCCACATATCATGTCCCATAACAGACACTAAATACGTGGGCTCTAAGAGGTGATTATGCTTTTCTCACTAAACTACAATTATTCTAGTTTTGGCTTTTAAAAAAAAAATCAAATATACTCTTAGAAGATCTATAATTAAGTCTTTATATCCATGTCTATACCACTGCCTTAAAAGCTATTAAAATATGTCATTATATTCATGCAGAGGTCCCCATTATAGACATGGTCCTAAGGTAAAAAGCCAATTTATGTTATGAACAAGTTTACAGAAAAACACGCCATCCAATTTCCACATAAGTGAGGCAAATGTTAAACATAGGTTTATCAGTCTTAAGTATAAAATCCCCAGGGTGAAAAGCCCTCAAAAATATTAGGTATATTTCCTAGAAAAATTTTAAATAGTTTTTCAAAAAAAAATTGCCTTTATGAGTAAATACCTTGTTACTTAGATAGAACTCAGGACATCTAGGTTCATATTCCTAATTTTTACATGGGATATAGCCTAGGCAAATTAGCTTATTGTTTCTACAGATTTAATACTGCTTCCTTTTGTCACTGCATGATTTCATCTTGCTATCTGGAAATTAAGGTCAGAAGAAGCTAGTCATTGATTTCTTAGTAAGTTAGAACCAGAGCCCTTCAAAGGCTAGACTGAGTATAATATAACCTACCAGAGGAAAACTTTCAACACAATGATTTTACCATTTCTATCTTACATCAATTTAAGTTTGTTTTCTTTCTTCATTAACCTCTATACTGTTTTCATACTGTAGCTAAATCAATCCAATTTTTCACGAAGCATATAACATTACCTACACAACTTCCTAGGAGAGCACCCCTTAAACTAACCACAATCTGAGTTTTCTGTGGTTAGTCAGAATTTGTTCCTCATTAAGTCTATAGTCTATTCAGATTTGTATGGCATTGCAATTGGGCGAACAATAAATCTAAATCAAGTTTCTCATTCACAGATATTTTTCTTCCAGAACCCGGCATTTCTTAACTTCCCTATTTTTCTCCCTTTTGCTTGCTATTTGGTGCATTTTTTCTGAAATTTTTCAATACTTTAATATTATTTGTTCCACATCACTTAATTCTAATCTTGATTGCTTAAATCTTAACATTTTCCTGAACAGAGTTTTTTACCTATCCCTTCTCTCCTTCCAAAATTCTCTGGACTATGTAATAGTCTACTTAGTGTTATTTGACCATTTCTTTCCTATTGTAATTATGAATTCAATTCCTTAATAAAGCAATTCTCAACTAGAAGGTATATTTAAAATTTCTTAAAGGCACAAATGAAAACTTTAGGACACCTAAACATTAGAATGACGTTTTAAATTTTTCCTCTGGGTATATCTATGCAATCTAACAGTAACGTATAATGAAAAGTAGCTCAGCCCAATGGTTGCTAGAATTGCTAAAAAGACAAAAATTCAAGACACTACCTTGAAACTGTTAAGTATCCTACATTAATCAAGGATTAGCTTTTGTTCTAAAAATTTCTCAACTAAACCTACACCACCATCTAAAACTCTAGCTTGCCGAAAAAATTTCCTAGGAATATGAATTCAAGTTAAAAATCTGATTTTAAAAGACTACAACAAAATTCTAGGCAATCAGAAATACAGCACACCTAAACTTACCAGAAGCAACCTGAAAACACCAACAAAACACTAGACTGAAGTCAAATTTTAGTTCTACAGTTTGACTCCTGATTCCTCACTTCACGTAGTGAGGGGAAGATTAAAGTGTTCTGTGCAAACCCAATAAAATTACAATTAGGGGATCCAATGTTATCACATAGCTACAGTTAAGTTAGCAGTGTTGTGTAGTAGTGAAATCAATGACTGGCTTGCATGATGGCTTCTAAAAGCATCTGTTCCCAGAGTTTCATGTATCTCATATATGTATATAAAATAATCAGTTGAGGACAGCCATTAGCATTTTGTAAAGATGATAAACTGTGTTAACTTCTCCCAGCCAGCACCTTTTCCCCTCATTAAATGATAAAAGTTGTCTGGGGGGAGGGGAAGGGAAGAATTCAACTTTTCTTTATAAGTATAAATCATTTGTCAGCATACATTTAAGTTTTTAAAACCTAAATGTTCTAAGTACAGAGTAAAGAATAAGCTGTCCAGAAAGCACACACTTAAAATCTCTCCTCTTGGGGAGTTATATAAAGGGATTTTGAACCTTGATGGCGAGAATCCCAAAACAAGAGTAAAATGAATTCTTTTTATTGCAAACAAACGTCTAAATTAATTTCTCCACCCACTTTCTTTAGAAAGAAAAAGAAATCAGCAGGCTAAGGAGATACCCATTCAAGAACTGACATGATTAAAAATTAAGATATAAATGGGTGACTCACAATTTCATTAGCTTACAAAGATGGTGGAGTTAACTACTACAAGCACACTAGTTATACAGTATTTTGTGGGAGAAGGGCATACAGACATAGCTAACTTCATATAGATCCCATTAGACAACTGGATTTACAACAAGTTTTTTTAATAAGAAATGGGCAAAGCCAGCTTTCTTTTCAGAATCAAAATGCAGAACAAATGGAAAAATTATGGTATTTAACCTTCACAAGTTTGAGCCTCCACAAATAATGCAACCAAGATTTACATTTTTAACAGCCCTTCTACATACACTCCATCTTCTCTATCTTAGTTCCAAGTTTTTAATGTTCATTCCCCAATTATGCCAATTCCATTGTTACTTAACAAGAAAAAGCATTCCCAGTTATTGTCAGAAACTATTTAGCTTACCCCCTCCACTACCCGGCAAACTACAGAGAGGATGGAGTGTAATGTGAGCAGTACAGAGTCTTATGCAATTCATGAGGACCACTTAGTCCTTACATGAATCTGGTTGCTAACATTTCTATTATATTGTGACAATGACTCCCGACTGTTATTCTCTGTGAGAAATGGGGGGAGTAAATTCTTAATAAAAGACACCAGGTACAAAGCAACATTTTACTTTTGTTGTGATAAAAAAAAAAGTCACATTTTACAGATAAAATGTAGAACCCTGAAATACTGACACATTCTCTTATCGTGCACAATGCTGAGGTTCTCTTACGATTCACTTTAAAACTGCAATTAAAAATGTACAAAAAAGAAAAGAAAAAAAATCAACCCACAAAGCTTCTAAAAAAGGAACCCGCAGGCACTTCCTCTTGTGGAATGTTTAAAAAGTTAGCCTACTAAAGAAAACAGTCGACTTCTTGTGAAGGTTTTGGAGAAATATGTATCAGTTCGTTTTATTTGGGTATTCAATAATATCCTTGGTGATAATGCTGACTCCATGGCTTCTGACCCCAGAATTGCTGTAAGAGAAAATTTTTTTTTTAAAGAAAAAACATCAATAAGCCACTCAAACTGCTTTTAGGAAATGACAATGAATCTAATTCAGAGTAATTGCTGGAAACAAATTTATACCTGTCATACCTCTGATTTCTATCAAACCACATATAGTTAGTTCTAATATTCATTATCAATAAACATTACAAAAGGAAACACACCATGACTTGGTTAGTTTACACAATTAAGGCTAGCAATAAAAAGAACCATATGTATTAAACATTACTTCATTTAAAAAATTAAGTTATAAGCAAACTCCACCTATCAAACTGCAACACAATTCACACCTTGCCTATTAACACTTCTAAATACTTCAATGTCTGGAACAAGATCTTTTTCAAAACTGATTCTTAGGAACTCAAAATACAATTAACATACATAAGCACATAAGAAATTACTTACACCCTGCTGCCACTGGTTGTAGCCCTGAGATTGATTTTTGTAGCCACGATTGTTTCCTCGTCCTCTGAAGTTCTACAAAAAGGAAAAATTCTTCAGGAGCTCTGAGCCCAACTGCTTGTCAGTAGTGTATAAAGGGGGCAGAAATGGACAGGGTGCTAGCCATTAATCTTAAGGGAATATAAAAACTCTGCACACCCTCGGCTGGCTTAAGTGTTCTAATTTTTATTTACTATGAGAAATCTACCTAACTTGTTGCTAGTCAGTGTGTACCTAAAAAACTGAAATTAAGTGGATTCATTTTACCATCACTAGTTGCACTTTCTTAATGCCAATGCACACATAATGTTCCTTAAAATTACTGAGACCCCACAACATAGGCCTACAACTTTCCACACAAAATTATGCAGCTATACCAGTGCCCTCCAGGGACCTTAAATCATTACCTGGTTGTAGTTCCCTCTGTTGGGCATTCCACCTCTGTTGTAATTCCCTCTGTTTGAATAACCACCTCGGCTGGGAAAAACAGGGCCACGAGGGTACGGATAGCCGATTCCACCACTTCCACCACCGCCACCACCTCTCTGTGGCATATTGCCCCTCCTATTATATCCACCACGATTACCAGGAGCTAAAGACAAGAAATGTTTTAGTTTTGTTGTGTTATACCTACTTACACAAAAGATTAGTGTTCTGGACCATTCCTTCATTTTTGAAAAAACATAATTAAATGTTTAAAGACAAAAGTAATGTCTAAATGTAACCATTCACTTAACGAGTGCATTTAATTTCAAATTATATGAATACTTTAAATTATGACAGCATAGCATCAATGAGGAACAAACTTTCTATGCTAAATTTAGCTAAACCCATAAGACTATCACTTATTTTCGATCCTGAACTAAATAAATATACAAGCAGTCAAAATTTACTTGCCTCCCCCTCTGAAATTTCCACCACGCATATTGAATCCTCCTCGTCCTCTATGGCCACCACCTCTGTTAAACTGGTTCTTTCCACTCTTATTTTTATTACTCTTCTTTGAGCCAGTGTTTTGTTTCTTTTCTGGTGGAAGAGCCTTTTTGCTTTCTTCCTTATATTGCTCCAAAAGTTTTTGGGCTTCCTCCTTCTGAAGTTCAACATAGGTTATTTCATCAAAGCACTCAGCTACCTCTGGGAGGGTAAAGTTTCCTATGGAAACAAAGTCAAATTATTAGCTTAGAATCCCACCTCAGCAAGTATCTCTAATCCTAAAGCTTTCCATTCTTAAATGACTTTAAAATTCAATAGATAATATCTACTTATGGCTTAATAACATTTTCCTAAAAATAAACAGAAATAAACCAAACACACCCATATTTACCAAAAATTATTCTAATTCCTTAAATAGTACAGCTAGAGAAAATGTTAATTTTTCAGATATAAATCATATAAACAGATTTAACATAGTAACAGAATTAGATTCCATGCCTTTCATTTTGAGGACTGCATGTTCTGGTAGGTCCTTCCCCTCTACTTCAGCTTTCTTTTGTGTTCTTTGCTTATAGTCTTCATCTTTTGGGCAAACTACAACAGCTTTTCGCTGGAAGCCTGCAAACAGGCACATTTTTCTCCTCTGGGCAGCAGCAGACACATTTGTCTTAAAAAAAAAAAAAAATTTATGTTTGTAACCCTAAACATTAATTCTACACCAAACCCAATGGTCAGTTAACATTTTTCAACTTCAAATCTTCAGCTTACCTGATCCAGAATGAAATTTCTCTTCTTTCGGGCAGCAATCTCAATAAACTTTCCAAGACACTGTGGGGCTCTCTGCAACAGTGTGTTCAGTTTTCCAGTATCTGCCATTTGCTTCTTAAAACCTGCCACCTGTATTTTCAAGTTAAAATTTTCCTTTAAATTTGTGAATCTCAAGACTTTAATACCAGCTTGGATCTATATGAAAAGTAGGCAATTTTAACTTATTCTCATCTATTTATGCTATAGAAAGAAGCTCACTTAATCATGTAAGACCCTATGCTATTTAATCCTGTTTAGCAGCAAAACGCTTTAGAGTTCAGAAAATTAAAAAATCTATAGAAAAAACACAAGCCTAGCCACTGGAAGGCAGTTTACCTTACACATAAATAGCTTAAGTAAAAAAATTCTTAATTAAACCCACACAACCCTTCTTCAAGATACTATATTAAAAAATAGGCCGGGCGCGGTGGCTCACGCCTGTAATCCTAGCTCTCTGGGAGGCGGAGACGGGCGGATTGCTCAAGGTCAGGAGTTCAAAACCAGCCTGAGCAAGAGCGAGACCTCGTCTCTACTATAAATAGAAAGAAATTAATTGGCCAACTAATATATATAGAAAAAATTAGCCGGGCATGGTGGCACATGCCTGTAGTCCCAGCTACTCTGGAGGCTGAGGCAGGAGGATCGCTTGAACCCAGGAGTTTGAGGTTGCTGTGAGCTAGGCTGATGCCACAGCACTCACTCTAGCCTGGGCAACAAGTGAGACTCTGTCTCAAAAAAGAAAAAAAAAAGGATAGTAACAGTGGGCAAAAGACTTACCTAGAATACCTCCTGGTATATTTTAAATGCTGAGATTAGGCCCCAAAACATTACTTACCATCATTTTATCCATAATGGTATTTGTTCCAAGAATGTTGTATTTCCCTGGATTTTCTGCTGCATGTTTAGTAACCCAGGTAGTTTTACCAGCTCCTGGCAAGCCAATCATCATCACGACCTATAGTGGAAAGGAAAAAAATGTCATTTCACAGTTTAATCATTATAGCCCACCTGATATTTAAAAACATTGTTTTAAAGTTTACAATGCTTAACAATGTATAGCTAAATTTCCATAGTCCTTATGCTAATTTGTTTACGTAAAGTTTAACACTCCATGTAAACAAAAAAGCTACTTAAAAGAGAAAATCACTGGTCAAGAGCTGTATGTACAGCAGAACAGGATTAATCCAGATCTTCTAAATGCCATTTTTGCCAAGCAAAAGCAATGTTCAGTTCAATCAAATGCTGCAGTTCCCTCCCCTCCCCCCAAAGCCACTTACTTCACAATCTTTCTTTTCTTCAGGCCCCTTGGGTCCTCTCACTCGATCCTCTAAGGGAACATTCTGGATGAAAGTATATTCTTCAGGTATTGGAAAATATGGCTTTTCCTTCTGACCAAAATTAAATTCAACTGCACAGTTGTGGCAGAGAACATGTGGGAAGAGTGGCCGTCCAGCAAGAACTTCCTTACTGATTTTGAAGGCAACACCAAGATCTTGTCCATTCTTAGCATAGGAGAGTTCTACTTCATCACTTTCAAAGTTCTGTTAAACAGGAAAAATAATCTGTAAGTTTAAATAAAGCTGCCTCCTGTAAGCTTCCTAAAAAACTTTAAAATTCAAATAACAAAGCTATCCTGTTAAATCTTGGATGTTTATAAACACTGAAACACGTATTTATCCAGAACCAGAAATGATATCGTCCTGGAAGACGGGATAGATTTTCAGGCCAAACTTCATGTTTAATACTTTTCACTCAAAATGACTTAGTGATTTCTACCTCAAATATTTTCTGTATTCTCCCAGTTCAACTGCTAAATGAAGTCTTTAACCCAGGGCTGGTTCACGTATTTATAGAACATACTGAAGGCTAACAAAGATGTAGTTTTTTTTTAAATTCATAGATGTAGCTAATTTGCCATTTATACAGAAATTTAGCTATAACTTACAGCAAAACACGTAATCACATCATTTTCATCAAATTTCTCTCCGTAATCTTCAGTCTCACAGTTGCACGTTTTTATTCCTTTTAAAGAATACCCATAGGAAAATTCTTCTTCACCTAAGGAAAATAGTTAACTTTTAAAAACAATCCCATCTATTCTGTATTATACGTAAGATGAAGGTTGCAAGAGAAATGATGAGTACGTAACTTAATAATCTGACATTTTGATTTATGTACTTCTGAACCAGATACTGAATTGATAGGAGATATACATACATACACACAAAAATACAAATAAAATTAGTTGACAAATCTTGTGTCACAGGTAAAGACTATTGTAACCATCAGTCTTAAACTTAATCAATCATGAAGGAACAAAAACTAAAATTTAGCCTGTGTCTACACCTGTATGTGCTGGTATTACCTCGTTCTAAAATAGTAACAAAATGAATAGATAAAAACAGGCAAAAGTTTTAGAATGCCTTCTATTATAAAATACTTAAGACCCTAAACTTTCATAAACCCACAGTAGTCAAAATGTAAACTTTACCAAGCAACATTCCACTTGTGGTTAGTGACCAGCCAATCCGAACTTCATGGATGTCAATATCTTTTGTATATAAATGCCTTACTGGGATCTTCTCTGTAACCTGAAAGTCAAATCATTAAATGATTAAACCCAGGAAGGTAAACTCTTAACTCTGGCTTATTTCACATGGACTATGGGCTAATTCTTCTCTAGCTATTAAACAAAAAGACACCTGACTCTGCCTCACCTTTCCCCTCCCTATCCCCAATCACAAGAAGTTTAAAAATTGATGTAAGTGCCTACAACTTGAAATTGAAAAAGTTTGATACTTGACTGGCTCACATATGAAAGAACAGTTAATATGTTTAATGTACATTTCTCAATTCTCAAAGCCAGTTAAAATATACCTTTAACCTGTTTTTCTTTTAACTCTTTGGTGGCCATTTCAAGTCCCTGATAAAATGACCTGGCTCTATATATGGTAAGTCCTGATATAACAAACTTGTCTGTCTCAAAAACAAAGGTTCTAAAGCCCCTAATTCACAGAAAACTGACGTTTAGCTATGTCAGGCAAACGAAAATTCACGAAGGTTCTTTTAAAGAAGAAAAAATAATCCACAAAACTGCTTTTACCTTCATCTCAAAACAGACTTTGCCTTTTGACACACCATAAGATGCCCTTCCTCCAGCCCAAAGAAAAGCAAAACTCTCCATAGTAAGGGAAGAAGCACTGAGGCGATCTCTTGATATTTTAAAATGTAGATCACAATTATCTGTAAGCATATCAAGTATCATATTACTCATTTGATATCCAATGTAAACGTTATCTGCTATGTAGACAAAACTTGGTTAAATTTTTGCATGTACTTCTTAATCCTGCATAAAACATTTTTACACATCACATGATTATTCCAATTTTCAGTTTAAGCCCCACTCCCACCAAAAAGTCACTCTTGAATTATGTACTAAAGAGTACTGCCTATGAAACTAACACCAAGACTTAAAGTGTGTATTTAAGTTTATAAAATAATCAAGACAATGTGACATTAATACATACCTGCTCTGCTCTTTACCTTGATTTAGAGGCAAGCAGTAGAAGATAGCAGGAAATCAAAGTGAAGCATGCCAGAACCAGGTAGAATTTACCAGTGCCACAATAAAACTGAAGGGAGGCCACGACCAAATATTTTAAAATAAAGTATGAGCTGTTGATTCTGCACTTTGTAACTTAACACCCAGGGTCTAGTTCCTGAATTCTTTCCTAAAACTTGTGAAAACAGCCTAAATCTACAAAGTACAAACTTGGTCATCAAATGCTGTCATACAGCATTGTAGGTCCTCTTTCCCCTACTAGTAGGTTTGCCTACTAGTAACAATTAGGGATTAACCACTTCCCGGATTATCCAAATCCAGTGTCTTTAACCTAGCTACCTATGGGTCACTGGCTCATTAGTATGCACCCTTCTCAGAGTTCTCACTTGAGGGACAGCTAAACTCAAGTTAGAAGGCTGTTTTCTTTAGGAGTTTTTACTGATGAGAGAGAATTAAACTTACAGTTTGAAATTTTTGTTAAATTAGCTTTCCTCCTAAAATTCCTAATCACTAGAATTTCTAATTCAACAAACTGTGTTCAAACCCAATGTTGCACTCAACAAATTGATATTCTTAGCTGATCTGTTAAAAGCCTATGACAACAGCATTACCTTCTTAAATCACTGCTTTGATATCCCGCCAATTCCTAGAGAACAATATTTAAGCAACTAAATTTGACATAAATCTTTCGAATCAACTACTTTTCCACCTGCAGTTTTTTCCTTTTAAAGGCTCAAATGACTATTTCAACTGTAAGGAATAGTCAATAAGAAATCACACTCTTACATTTACACTGTCTTACAAATCTGAATAAAAACAAATTTGTACCAGAAAACATGAGAATCTAAGCTTCAACTCCTTACATCTAACAAAGCAGGCTGACACCTTACCTCTTATTTTTCAACCACTTTTTTCTACACTTTGTTCTATTCATCCCAATGAAAAGAGTTGTGTGCTTTCTAATTATAATTACTAAACCAACAACTTTTTTTAAAACAACAACAAAAAAAAATACAAGTCTGACAGCTAAGGCCCATTTAGAGGTTTGCAATACTTCCTCATACTCAATTGCAACCCAACTGGGTAAAGTAGCAGTATTTACAGTGCTGCCATTGATACCATTCGCTGCTGAAGAAAGCTAGTGGCCCAGTGATAGCCCACTGCTGCTGCCCCAGGTCTTTGGAAGAAATCAACTTATGTTAAAGCAGCAGCTACTGAACTGGAATTGAGAACAAAAGAGCAGTTATTGAAAAAATAATATTACAATCTTTTAGAATAGGGATATACTTGTGTGCTAATGGGGAAAGTTATCAGTAAATATTTAGCCCAAATAGCTCACTTAATATAGTTCCACAAAAAATGAAATTACTTTATTGTAGAAGCCTACAAAAACAAATTATAGGTAGTTTTGTTACAAGTTTCCATTAGCTAGTCAAAAATTGACATTAATTTTACATTCCTAAGAATGAGAACTTCCAAGTCATAAAAACATAAAATGCTAGAGCCTGTAAAAATAATCAATACAACCCATGCCGAACGAAATATTAAAGTCCTGTAATGCAAATAAGCCTTTATCTCCCTGCTTTTAAAAAACTAACCTAAGTTTTCTACACTTAAGTTCAACACACTGCATTAAGTTTTTTTAACATGCTGGCACCAAAAAAACCACCGCCATTTGATAACACGAGGAGAGAAGGGGAGAAAGAGCTTCACTTACAAGTATCAAGACAAACCACTGTGTCATCGAAGTGTTCATCTTCTTCTTCAACAGGTGGCTGAGGAGATTTGGCTCTGCAAGACAGAATTGTCTCCTGATATACCACGCCCATCAAGGAATAAATAATGGGCGACAATAAACTAGGTAAGCATTCTCTACCTGCTATATTTGTTCTCTTCAATGTACTCAAAATATCCACGGCCATGATCTTCTCGAGGTCTTTTAACACCTCTCTTTTTATCTCCGCCTTTCTGCTCTGTTTTGCCGTCTCCTAAAACACACAACACTGCTATAAGAGGCCAAAGCGCCAAAAAAAAAAAAAAAAAAAAAAAAAAAAAAAAAAAAAAAAAAAAGAAGCCACCTTTTCCCTTTTGAGGCGCATAGCAGCTCGTCTTTACCCTGTTTAATTATATTATAATCGATGAAGCAAATGTAATCTAAGATCAGCTTGGAGTTAGTGACGCACTCTAAAGACGTTACTAATTTTCCCAGTCTACTCGATTATTCGAGAAAGGTAAAGAAAAATAGCGCGGCCCAGGCCCAGAGCCCACGTGCAACCCGACAAGAGTTCAGGAAGGGGGGAGGAGCCGAGCGGGCTCGCGCGGCCCTCCCCTCCCCCACCCGGGCCCGCGCTCCCCGCGGCCGCATTGTACTGATCTTCCGCCCCACTCTCCCCGCCCGGCTCCTCCCGCCGGAAGTGACGTCACGCCGAGCCCCTGCGTTCCTTGCACAATACAGCGGCCAGGAGCCGCCAAAGCGCGCCCGCCCCGGGACCTCGGGCCTCTCCCCTCCCCCCGAGACATGTGCCCGCACCGCGCGCACGCAGCGCGACGGCGCCACCGCGGGCCGACCGGGCTCCCTCCCGCCGCCCGCGGCTCCTCCCCCTCCAGCGGCAGCTGCAGCTCCCCCCGGCTCCCGTGCCACATAATGGAGGCGCTGCCACCACCGTCACACACACACCGAGCCCGAGGCCTCCGGGCTAATCCGGGATTCCCCGCACCCCTCCCCCACCGCCGGCCTCCGCCCGGCCCCCGCACCGCGGCCCCCGCCCGCCCGGGGCTCCCTCCCCCCGCGGGGCTCCGGCAGGCCTGGGGCACGGTCCCCACCCGCGCGGGCCTCCCGCCGCGCGCAACGTACAACGCAGCACTCACCCGCCGCCGGAGCCCCGGGGCGACCGCCGCCTCCGCCGCCTTCCGCCTTCTTCTTACCTCCCGCCTGCTGCTGGCCCTGCCTCGCCCCGGGCGGCGCCACCGTCACCGCGAAAAGCGAGGTGGGGCCGCTGCTCTTCCCCGCGGCCTCCTTGGCGGCCCCGCGCTGCTGTTGGGTCTGTTGCTGCGGCGTCGCCGGCGGTTGAGGCTGCTGCTCCCCGTGCCCGTTCTCGTCGCCCGCGCCTTCCTCCTCGTCTCCGAGCTCATCCTCCCCTTCCTGGAAACCCTGATCGTCGCCGTTCTCGTCTTCCGAGGCGGCCTCCTCCTCCATCGGGCCCGAGTCGGCCGCCCCCGCGGCCCCGTTCTCCTCTCCTATCTCCATCTGGTCGCCATCCAGGGCGGTGATCCCTTCCTCCTCCTCTTCCTCCTCCTCCTCTTCCTCGTCGCCGCCGGTCGCGGCCTCCTGCTCGAGGCCTGCTCCCGAGCGCCCGGCGGAATCTCCGCCCAGGTCTAGGCTGCCGTTCCCGGGCTCCATGGCGGGGCGGCCCCCGGCCTCCTCGTCGTCCAGCGCGGCCTGGAGTCGCTCCATGAGCTCGGCCTTGAGCCCCTTGTCAGAAAGGCGCCGCTTCTTAAGCTCCTCTTTCAGCTCCGACACCTTCAGCTTTTTTACATTAACAGGCGAGGAACTCATGGTGAGGGCCCCAATTCACCGCTAGGCGCTGGCTCAAACTGGGCTCCGCTCGCTCGGCCACTGGTGGCGGCTGCTGCGGCTGCTCCTCGGCCCGGGCGGCGGCTGCGGCTGCGGCTGGAGGTGGGTTCGTGCTGCAGAGCGGATCCGCCTGGTGTCGAACGGCGCCAATTCCTTTCACCGAGTTCGCGAGGGAGACGCGGAGACTCGCCTGGCGCGAGCGAGCACGCAACGTCCTCTCGCAGGGGCGGCGCCGCGCACGTAATATAGCCGCCCCGCCCCCTGCGCTGACGGGAGCGCCGCGCAGGAGGGAAGCCGGAGCGCGCCCGCGCTCGGCCCCGCCCAGGAGCGTACTTGCCTCCCCGCCCCCACGCCGAGCCCGGCCGAGAGCGCGGCGCAGGCCGCGCAGTGCGCTTCCAATGGGGACTGAGCAAATGGGGGAAAAGGAAACCGCCTTTCAGTTAAACCGGCCCACTGCAAAGTCTATTGGTCTTTCTGGTTCTTTGGTGGCAATACTCGTTTTGCTCTTTGCCTTTCCAGTCTGGAGGCTGCTTTACCCTAGTGCTTTCCTTCAGTCTTCAACTTGGCATTTCGACTCGAATCCTCCACCCTTTCTTCCATCTTAGATTCCCTTCTTATATGTTTCTCCAGCTATTCGTTTAAAACTCCTTACAATTTGTTTCATTTTGACTGGTATAACACGAATTGGCGAATGTTATATGGAGGGGTTTTTTTCCCTGCGTAATACTGCATTTAGGTTAATTTTTGTAAGTCCTGCCTTGCGAATTAAATTTTAAGTTCTAGAAGGACGAGGGCAGAGCTTTTCTTTTGTCTCTTCCACAACCCCTTGTGCAGGGCCTAGGAATTAGAGGCTTGCTTTGCTTCTCTGTACTGCAAAACGTAATTTACCACCCTTTTCATAGCAGCTATTCAGATGGTATTAATAGCCCTGGAATATTTCTCAGTTTTCTATGCCTACCAAAAAGACGGCCCTTCTGTAAGACTTGTTCTGTCCAATTTAGGACCTAGTCGTCTGGTTACATGTTCCCAATAGCTAACAGTGAGGATGAGACCCAGCGAGGTCATACGCTTGGGTCTTCCTATTATTCATGTAGAAATACTCCTGACCAAATCATGCTGAAACTCTTACAGCTCATGGAGAATAAAGGGCTGGAATTTTGTTTAAAAAGCAAAAATTAGACTATCATTCTCGCGGAAAAAAAATCTGTCATTATGTTGTATTTTTGAAGTTTGATTTTTCTCTTTAATAAGTTAAAGGTACGATATATCATTGAAATTTTAGATAAGAATGCCAGAATTTAGATTTGTGATACAAGTTAACATCCTAAACCCCAGAGAATCTGCACAGTGTCCAGTCCTGCCGGTGTGCTACTACCTAAGGAAATTGGTTATACCCACTGCTTGATGCTCTAACTGGCACAATTACTGCCCCGATATTAATTTGAAATTTGCAAGTATCCATTTGCGAAATTTCTCCCATAGGCTAAGTGATTAATAAATTTTATTTTTAGTTTCTTTTCAATAGCTTTCAACAAGCATTGTATCATACGATGCAAGCATGTATAAAGATGAAATATTAACATTTTTGAAATCATTTGAGTTGAAATTAATAACAGTACTACTGATAATCCTCAATACAATTTAGTGAAATCCTCAGTTCAAATTAAGTGGTGAGGATAGCACCCAAAATAAAACTTCCAAATAGTGCCAAAACCTCATTTTAACCTTTGGTTATAATGTCTTTGAAGCTTATGACCAACCCACAAACTGGAATTTGAACTCTTCTTTGTTCGTGTTCAAAAATGGGAAAGAGCTACAGGGGACTTACACGTTGAAACACTGGATGATGAGTCTTTTAATGAAACAGAGTTAAATACAATAATGATGATGGGTTTTTTTATGTGTCCTTAGATACTATTTACACTTTTAAATATTAGTGATATGAAAACTAAGTTTATGTATTAAAGTATGGATCTATAACAGTCGTTCTTGGAACATTGCATCAGTGGTAATAATAAACATGAAATATAACTCTTGATGCACATGAGATAGTTCCATGGCTTTATCTTCCCAGAGCTTTACAGACTTTTAGAGCAGAATGAAACCTAGAGATCACCTTCAGGCTGCTCATTTTACAGCCCAAGAAGAGCTGAGACCGGCACTCCACCACAATGCTCCTGCCATTACATTGTGCCGCCTTAGATGACATCTGAAAGAAAAACAGTTGCTCTAAATGCTCTAAGAACCATCATCTTGCTATTTGTCCTTTTTACAAACAGGGGAAATCTGCCATTCTATATATTATGTTACCACTTGAAAGGACAAATGGTGACTTAATTTTACTAATTATTTTTGCTTCTTATATTTTTAATGCTATTATGATAATCCTCCTTTACAGAGACCAGTAAAAGTACAGGTCACTTCCTCTAAATCTCTGAGATACAAGGAACTTTAAATTCCCCCTTTTGGAAATCCTGGAGACTACCAAGAATACCGAGTGTGAGAGGAGACAAATTAATTCTCAGTAGCAGAAAATGATTAGTGAATTACTTATGGATAATAGATTTGTGACAGGTAATTACAAAGTCATGGTGCTCAACATATGTAACTTTCATTTTAAGGTCAAAGCAAAGGGACGTACCTAAGCGCTATACTTTGCCACACAATTTACTCAGCAAATATTATTTGAGTACCTCCTCTAAGACTGGCACTAGTCTATTAGGGATATAGCAGTGACTGTAATTATGCCTTTACTCTCTTAAGGAGTCTTAACAAATAAAATAGAGATGACAAATACTATAGAAAAAAATAAACAGGAGATCTCATTCATGGTCTCTTATTAAAAAAAGAAAAATAAACAGGAGAGAGGCAGGGTGTGCTGGGAGAGGAGCAGGGTGAGTTTTTCAGTTATAAATGGCGTGGTCAGGGAAGCCAGAAAAATAAGGTGACATTTTACAGTTATACAAGATGAGTATGTTCCAGAGATCTGCTGTTCAACACAGGGTGTACAGTTAACAATATGATATTGTGCACTTACAATTTTGTTAAGAGTATAGATGTTGGCCGACCCTGGTGGCTCACACCTGTAATCCTAGCACTCCGGGAGGCCGAGGCGGGAGGATAGCTCAAGGTCAGGAGTTCAAAACCAGCCTGAGCAAGAGCAAGACCCCTATCTCTACTAAAAATAGAAAGAAATTAATTGGCCAACTAAAAATATATAGAAAAAAGTAGTCCCAGCTACTCGGGAGGCTGAGGCAGTAGGATTGGTTGGGCCTAGGAGTTTGAGGCTGCTGTGAGCTAGGCTGACGCCAGGGCACTCTAGCCCGGGCAACAGAGTGACACTCTGTCTCAAAAAAAAAAATATATAGATGTTATGTTAAATGTTCTTATCCCCAAAAAAAGAAGAAGAAGAAAAAAAAATCAAAGGGGCACAAGGAAACTGCTAGAGGTAATGGTTATGTTCATTACACAGATGGTGGTGATGGTGATATGAGTGTATACATCTGTCCAAACCCACCAAGTTGTATACATTAGTTACGTGTAGTTTTTTGTATACTAACTATACGTCAATAAAGCTGGGGGGTAGAGACAAAAGAAATCAGGTAACGTTAGAGCAAATAACGCAGAAGAGGCAGAGGAAACAGCAGAGGCCTAAGGGAAATGATAGGAAGTGAGAAGGGAGAGCTGAGAGAGGGGAAATTCAAATCGGTGGCAACCTTGTGCGTGATTTTGTTCAGACTTTGGCTTTTGCCTCCTGCAATGGACTGAATGTTTGTTTGTGTCCCCACAAAACTTGTATTTTGAAACCCATTCCCTCATGTGATGATATTAGGAGGTAGGTGAGGCCTTTGGCGGTGAGTAGATTGTGCGGGTGGAGCTCTCATTGATAGGATTAGTGCCTTTATAAGGAGATGAAGAGACCGGAGTTCGCTTCTTCTACCATCTGAGGCCACAACAGGAAGGCACCCTCTATGAGAAAGTGGGCCCTTGCCAGTCACCAAATCAGCTGGGGCCTTGATCTTAGCCTCCAGAATTGTGAGAAATAAATTTGCTGTTTATAAGCCAGTGTATGGTATTTTTTTATAGCAGCCCAAACAGACTAAAATACCTCCAGCGAGGTTAGCAAAGGAATGACGTGAATTGACAAGAATGCTAAATTAAATGCACTTCAGAGGGTAGTCCATTAAACTCCGTATTTTTTTATAGCACAATCAAGCCCAAATTAAATTAACCAAAGAAGCATGAAATATGCTGAAATACATCTTCCAATGTATTTTACAAAAGGTTGAAAAATTACAAGTACCTCTAAATTACTAAGCATTAAAAAGTAGACATTTTTCCATAGACAAACAAGAAAGCCCAATTAGGAGGAAAGCTATACCAAGTTCTGGTTAAAAGTGCAAGCTTAGAGGCCGGGCGCAGTGGCTCACGCCTGTAATCCTAGCACTTTGGGAGGCCAAGGCGGGCGGATTGCTCAAGGTCAGGAGTTCGAAACCAGCCTGAGCGAGACCCCATCTCTACCAAAAATAGAAAGAAATTAATTGTCCAACTAAAATATATATATACAAAAAATTAGCCGGGCATGGTGGTGCATGCCTGTAGTCCCAGCTACTCGGGAGGCTGAGGCAGTAGGATCGCTGAGTCCAGGAGATTGAGGTTGCTGTGAGCTAGGCTGACGCCACGGCACTCACTCTAGCCTGGGCAACAAAGTGAGACTCTGTCTCAAAAAAAAAAAAGTGCAAGCATTGGGCTGGGCACAGTGGCTCACACCTATAATCCTAGCACTCTGGTGGTGGGAGGATTGCTTGAGGCCAGGAGTTGGAGACCAGCCTGAGCAAAAGAGAGACCCTATCTCTGCAAAACATAGAAAAGTTAGCTGAGCATAGTGCCGCTCGCCTATAGTCCCAGCTACTTAGGAGACTGGGGCAGGAAAATCACTTAAGCCCAGGAGTTTGAGATTACAGCGAGCTATGATGACACCACTGCACTCTAGCCTGGGCAACAGAGCAAGACCCAGTCTCAAAAAAAAAAAAAAAAAAAAGCACAAGCTTAAAAATCCACAGCTATACCACATAGTAGCTGTGTAATCTTGCACAATGTATTTATTTCTCTATGTCTGAATTTCCTCATGTATAAAAATGATATTTGCTGCCTGAGGTTGTTGGGAAAATTCAGTGAGGTAATAAATATAAACCCTAAGAGCGGTGCTTGACACACGATGAAGTCCAATGAATAATAGTCTTCATTATATACACTGAGCAATTTAAGGAAGTTAAGAAAAATCTATAATTGTTAACATTAAAACCTTACTGAGGAAATTATGACTATACACATTTTGTAAATTGTCAATCAATTGTTCATGGTAAGATGTCAATCTGGCAAAAAGGGAGACAAAGTCTAAAGGAAGGTGTGCAGACTTCCCTTCTAGGCCCAGCACTATCAGGGCAACAAGCTGTGTGACCTTGGGCAAATTGCATGACCTTTCTGCATATTAGTTTCATCATCTATAAATGAAACAGAGCAGACTAGGGAACCCCCAGGGAGAATCTTCTATGAGTTTTAAATAGGTGAGCATTGTTAAACTTTGAAACAATTGTTTATTCATATTCAGCTTTTACTTGTTAATACTTAAA